GCCTCACACCCAGTGTATTTAATTAGCCTATGATTGGCTGGGCCTGCTGCATACAGCACTCTCCACTCCAAATCCTCAATGGAAAAGGGAAGGCCTTCCACTGAGACTTCTGCCTTTGAATGATAAAGCACTATGCCAAGGTGTATCCAAGCAGCAGGCAAAGGTGAGGAAGTGGAGAGTGCAACAGTTGCCTGTATCTTAAATACCTTTGGCGGCACGGTGGCTCAGAGGTTAGCATTGCTGCCTCACAGCACCAAGGACCCAGGTTTGATTCCACCCTCGGGCGACTGTCTATGTGGTGTTTGCACATTCTCTGGTGTCTATGTGGGTTTCCTCCCACAGTCCAAAGATGTGCAGGTTAGGTGGATTAGCCATGCTAAATTGCCCATATTATCCAGGGATGTTTAGGTTAGGTGGGTTAGACATGGGAAATGCAGGGGTAGGGAATGGGTCTGGGTGGGATGCTCTTCGGAGGGGCAGTGTTGACTTGTTGGGCCGAATGGCCTGTTTTCACACGATAGGCATTCTATGATTCATTCTAAAGACCGTGGGGTGGATTTCCGAGAGATGGCTCAGATGTGGGGCGCTGCATCCCAGGGGATAGTCTGTTGTATGGGGCCAGTGTCAAGTTCCAGACGGACAGGTGTCAGTTTGTCTGGAAACCCAACACATGTCTGAGCCGCCACGATTTCATGTAATGCATCAGGGCCGAGTACCTTGACCCTCAGTCTCCAGAAGGCTCGGGTTGGGAACTGGATGTTGACTGACGCCCTCTTGACCAACTGCACCAGTGCCATCCAACTCACTTCTCCATCATCCAACACATTCTACACTCTAATCAGCCAGTATCCTGAGCCACCCTCTCCATCAGCCATCAAAAGCCACACTGATGGTGGAACCTAGTGCTAAGCAGTGGCTCCCTTACCACAGCCACCACTCATGCAGAGACAGTGCTCTGGCATGGGTCAACCAAGTCCTTGGCTTTGTTCGGGTCCGAGTAAAAGACAGGCAATTGTTGAAAGAAGGTCTGAGAGCAGGACCACTCTTAAACAGGAACTGCATGTCATAATTGAAGTCACACACTTGACAGAAGAAATACATCAACAGGATGCACCACCTTGGAGGAGGCTCAACATGAAAGCATCACTGCAGGGTTTCAAGGCAGAAAGTCGCTACCTGGGTGCAGAGGTTCACCAGTTGCCTACCGCCCTCCTCAAGTGACAGACTCAAAGCCTTAGCAGCAGCCTAGTGCTGCTTTTCATCCCAGAAAATCTCAGCTTTTTCAAGATATTCATGACAAATCCCTGGGGGAGGGACCAAAGTGACCAGCCAATGCCACAAAGTTGCAGAGATTAGCCAGTTTATGACTGCTGCGCCGTCTAAGACAAAGCTGGGAGCAGTCCTGTCCGGCAGCCACTTAGTTTCCAGCTCTTGCCAATTTGCTGTCAAAAGGATTCTTTCGCAGGACAATGATAGCCTCCTGTGTAGAGGAGGTGCATGCTACTCCATGTAAAGCATCGGAGCTTCTCCACCAGGGGGTACATCTGCCACAGACCAACCAGAAGTTCTAGACATTTACTCTAGTTGATCCTTCAGAGGTGCAGCAGAGTAGACCTCCTGGCATTTGTACATCGTTCATAAACCAGCTGCAAACCTCATGTGAACATGAGGAGCATGTCGTTGGTGTATGCCAAAAGGACAAACCCCAGACCCAGCCCACACAGAGCCAGACCCGACAACTGCTTTGACGAGGGACACAGGAATGGCTCCACACAGAACATAACTGACTGGACAGGGGATAGTCCTGACACACTCTCCTCCTGAAGCACAAGGTGAACCATTAAGCACCTCTTCACCTTCACTAAACATGCCGCAGCGACATGTAGGAGTCAAATCCAGGCAACAAGGTGCATGCTGAGCCTGAAAGCTTTCAAAGTCCCAAGCAGATAGAACAGAATACCTACAGTGTGGAAATAGGCCATTTAGCCCAACAGCTCCACACTGACCCTCCAAACAGCATCCCACCCAGACCCATAACCCTACCCTATTCCTGCATTTCCCATGGCTTAACCCACCTAGCCTGCACATCCCTGAACACTATGGGTATCTTACCACGGCCAATCTACCTAACTTGCACATCTTTGGACTGTAGGAGGAAACTAGCAGAAACCCACACAGAGACAGGGAGAATGTGCAAACTCCACACAGAGAGTGGGTAGAATCAGACCGGGTCTCTGGCACTGTGAGGCAGCAGCGCTAACCACTGAGCCACTGCTGCCCGAGGGGGAAAGGAGGCTGGCAGCAGGAACCTGCTGGACAAGTAGCAAAAGGGCTAGAACCTAGATCATTGTAATCCACTATGTCAAACACCCCTTCCTGATGAAGGAAGAATGATGCTCAACAGGCCAGCCCTCTGGGAATGATGGATAACATCCCAGACTAGATGAACTCCTGGGACCACGTAGGATTGGTCTGGGTGAATCGTGTGGTCCAGCACAGTGCCGAGGCAAGAAGAATACACCCTGGAAAAGATTTTATAGTCCAAGCTGAGAAGAAAGACCAGACACCAGTTCTTTAACAACTGGAGATCCCTGCCACTTCAGTAACAGAGCATTGATGCCCCTGTGCCCAGAAAGGGGATCTCTTCAGTCACGATTTATTTCCCCAAGATCCATGTTTGATCATTTCCCATGACATTCCAGAACACCCTGAGGAACACCATGGTTAGCCAGTCCAGCCCCAGGGACTAACCCATGGAGAGCCGGTCAAGCCAGCCAGTTAGCTCCTCCAGACTCAAAGTTGCATTGACCCTCTTGGCACTCTCCAGGTTGACTGCAGCAGATCCTCACATGAAACTTTGAGTTTCTTTGCTGGCTAATGGAAATTCCCTCCTTGGGCTCTGATGCACTCTGGATCCAACACAAGGGATCTGTCATCAGCTACTGCCACAAGGAGCTGCTGGTGGAATAGAAGAAGGAGCCACTGTATAGTTTTCAAATGAACCGGGATCCATGACTTCAAGTACATGCCCGCGGACCAGACAACATGCAGATCTCAGAGTGCACCATTCTACGCTTCTCACACCTCCTGCAGGGCTGGATCCTCATTGGGCTGACTGAGATGTTGAGCATCCCCTTCACAAATTGTTCCATCATAGATTTCAACCTCTTTGTCATCAGCCTGTCTCCCCCAACCCACATTCCTACCCCAACTCCCACCCCTCCCAAGCCACCCACCCTGCACTGTTGACAGAATACTTGGATATGAGTTTTGCCCACATCCCGCCATAGCTTCAAGGAGGGGAAGCTCCCTTTTCCTTCTCCAGTCAGCCCAGAAGTGACAGAATGAGTCTTGGACCGGTTTGTCCTCCAGCAGCAGGTTGTTAAAGTGCCAGTATGCCAACCTTGCTCCGGCGTGGAACAAAACATGCTCCATCCACACCAGATTGTGATCAGTGAACTGCATGTGTTGCAGGAAGGCCATTGGAATGCAGGAGGTGTACACGCTCAATGTAGAGGCAGTCAAATCTGGCTGCTCTGACTCCTGACTTCACAAAGCTGAAGACGGAGGTGGGATGGAGATTCTATTAGACATCTACCAAATCAAAGGACTTGATCAATTCCCTCAACTTCCCCATTTATGCAGAGCTCATCTGGATACCTCCTCTGGTTCCTCCACCCAAGACAGCAAGTAAAATCCATCCACCCAGAGCAGAATGACTTCATCCTCATCAATGGAGCTAAGAAGAATAGACACTTCGTCAAAGAATAGCATTTGCTATGGTCCTAGCTGAGGCATGTGTACGTTCACAAAGTAAAGTACTGTGCCCCCAAAACAAACCAAGAATCAAAGCAAACAGCCTGGCACCACTACCTTGACCCTCAAGGTGAAAAGGTGGGACCAACAAGATAGTCATCCCGCAAGAACTGAGGTCAGGTGACCTATGTAGACGCCTCCATATGGCTTCATCTCTCTGAACATTGTGGGCTTCTTGCCTGAGGAATATGAGGATATGAAATCTGTGCTGTGCTTCTCTGCTGTCATTGTCATTGAGGCTAGGTATGGTCATCATCTTCTCTTTGATTTGATATGAAATATTATTGTCACATGTACCGAGATACAGTTGAAAGTATTGTTTTGCATGCTAACCAAACAAATCGTACCTTACGTAAGTACATCAGGGTAATAGAACAGAATGCAAACTAAAATATTACAGCTGCAGAGAAGGTGCATGTGGAAAGATCAACTCTAATATGTGAGTCTGATAACAGCAGGGAGAAAGTTGTGCTTAAATCTGTTGGTACGTGTTTTCAAACTTTTGTATCTTCTGCCCAACGGAAGGGGGTAGAATTGTAGTATTGTGTCATCATCATCACTGTTAAATCTGTTGGTTGGGAGGAGGGTCTTTTTTCACTCCTCAGCTCCCCAACACTACAGAGGAACGTCTGGCACTGTAGTTTTGCATTCCTGTCCACTCCTGGGGCTGTTTTTAGATGCTGAAAGATGCCACTCAACCCATCAACTTTACACCAGCCCTCTGAAGAACATCCCAAACTATCCCCATAATCCACATTTACAATGACTAATCCACCTAGCCTGCACCTCCTTGCACACTTCAAGACAATCCACCTAACCTGCATATCTTTGGACTGTGGCAAGAAGCCAGAGCACCCAGTGGAAACCCATGCAGACACAGAGAGAACATGTAAGCTCCACACAAGCAGTTACCCAAGGTTAGAATCAAACCCTGGTCCCTGGTACTGTGAGGCAGCAGTGCTAATCACTGTGCTACTGTGCTGCCAATGTTTGGGACTCTCTCTACAAACAGCAATGGAAGCTGGAATAGGTGTTAATTTTAAATCTGAGAGGCTTAAATCTTTAAGCAAAGGTATTCCGGTATGTAGAGTTAAGCCACAGATCAACCGTGATCTCAATGAATGGTGGAATAGGCTTGATGACCTACTCCTGTTCATATCTCTGCTAGATTGTGTGGTTCTTACCATGTTCCAGGTGAACTCAACAAGAGGCCGTGCCAGCAGGAAAGCATCCGTTATCATCTTGCCATCAAGGTCTGGGAATACTGTCGCCAAACCAGATCCCACATTGTGAACAACCATATCCTGTGGGTGAGGAGAGTGGGAAATGTTAGTTAGCACGTGAATTACAATCATATCAGACCGCCTTAAGGGGCAGTCATAGAGTAAAAACAGGCTCAACGGGGTGAAGATGTAGACAGGGCAGAAAGGACTGAGGGAGTAGTGAGAAAGGCAGAGGAGAGGTGTGGGTGAGATGGGGAGAGAAGAGGAAGGCAGGCAGGTGGAGGAGAATAGGCAAAAGGTGTGGAAATCTGACAAATCCTTTAGAGGTTTTCAAAGAGGTAACCAAAAGAATAGATGACAGTAGGGCAGTGGATGTTGCCCATATGGACTTTAGTAAGAGCTTTGACAAGTTCCCACGTGGCAGGCTAATCATGAAGGATAGGTCACATGGGATACAGGGAGAGCTAGCTATTTGGATTCAAAATTGGTTTGATGGTAGGAAGCAGAGGGTGATGGTTGAAGGTTGTTTCTCAGACTGGAGGCCTGTGACTAGTGGTGTGTCACAGGGGTCAACGCTGGGACATTTGTTACTTGTGATTTATGTAAATGATCTGGATGTGAATGTACAAGGCATAATTAGTAAGTTTGCAGATGATACAAAATTAGGACGTATTGTTAATAGCGAGGAACGATATCAAAAATTACAGGGGCATATTGATCAAATGGGGAAGTGGGCTGAGGATTGGCAAATGCAATTCAATACAGATAACTGTGAAGCGTTCCACTTTGGAAAGTCAAAGCAAGGTAGGACTTATACAGTCAATGGTAAGGTCCTGAGGAGAGCTGTAGAACAGAGGAACCTAGGAGTATAAATACATAGTTGGTTGAAAGCAGCATCACAGGTAGACAAGATGGTGAAGAAGGCATTTAGCATGCTGACCTTTGTCAGTTGAGACATTAAATATAGGAGTTGGGACGTTATGTTACAGTTATATAAGTCATTGGTGAGGCCGCACTTGGAGTACTGTGTACAGTTTTGGTCACCCTGTTATAGGAAAGACATAGTTAAACTGGAAAGTATGCAAAGAAGATTTACGAGAATGTTGCCAGGACTACTGGGCCTGAGTTATAAAGAGAGGTTGGCAAAGATCGGACTTTATTCCTTGGAGAGACATGTGGGACAGAAAAGAAAGGAGGAAAGAGAAAGATAACTGGATAGTCCAACAAGAGGAGGGCCCATACTGGACATTGTACTGGCTAATAAGCCTGACCAGGTGACTAACCTCTCAGTAGGAGAGCATTTTGGAAACAGTGATCCCAACTCCTTAAGTTTTAAGGTAGCTGTGAATAAGGGTAAATCAGGACATTGTAGCAAAGTTCTAAATTCAGGGTGGGGTGGGGGGAGGTGCAAATTACATCAGTATTAGGCAGGAGCTACAGATTGTCCATTGGGAGGACCTATTATCAAGCAAGTCCACATTTGACATGTGGGAATTGTTTAAAGACCTGCTAATTAGAGTTCAGGAGCAGCATGTTCCAGTAAAGAGGAAGGACAAGGATGGCAAGGTAAGGGACCCTTGGATAATGAGGGAGGTTATGAATTTCATCAAAAGGGAAAAAAGAAGCATATGTAAGGTTTAGGAAGCTAAAATCAGACAGGGACCATGAGAAATATAAAGAAAGCAGGAAAGAACTCAAGCCAGGAAATAGGAGAGCAAGAATGTATGAAATGACCTTGGCAAGTAGGGTTAAAGAGAATCTGAAGACATTCTACACATAAATTAAAAACAAGAGGATAACTAACGAGACGCTGGGACCACTCAAGGATAAAGGAGGGAACTTGTGCTTAGAGACAAAGGATATGGGTAAAATCCTAAATGAGTACTTTGCGTCAGTATTCACCCAGGAGAAGAATATGGAGGAAATTTGTGTGGAGCACGCTAATATGCTAGGGCATTTTGAGATCAAGAAAGAAGTGGTGTTGGGTCTCATGAGGAGCATTAAGGTGGATAAGTCGCCAGGACCTGATGGTATCTACCCCAGATTTTGAGAGAGGCAAGAGCGGAAATTGCTGGGGTCTTGAAAAAGATCTTTATGTATCGCCCGCTGTTCCTGATGTGGCCTCCTCTAAATCGGGGAGACCAAGCGGACACCACTTTGTGGAGCACCTATGCTCGGTTCGTGACAAACGACAACACCTCCCAGTCGCGAACCACTTCAACTCCCCCTCCCACTCCCTGGACAACATATCCATCCTGGGCCTCCTCCAGTGTCACAACGATGCCACCCAAAAACTGGAGGAACAGCACCTCATATTCTGCCTTGGAACCCTACAATCCAATGGTCTCAATATGGACTTTACGAACTTCAAAATCTACCCCCACCCTGACCTCATCCCAAGACCAGCACCCCCACCCTCTCGTCCCTGCCTCCTTGACCTGTCTGTCTTCTCTCCCATCTATCCGCTCCGCCCACCTCATTGACCAACCCCCACCCCCACTTCCTACCTACACTACATGATGAACAGCAGGACCCAGGGAGGCACTAAGGATCAAAAGGATCTCAATGTGCACATACACCGGTCCCTTAAGTTATCACGACAGGTGGATAAAGTATGGTGCACTTGCCTTTATTAGTCCAGGTAGTTTAAGGCCAGGGAGGTGATGCTGGAACTGTATAAAATGTCGGTTCGGCCACATAGAATAATGTGTGCAATTCTGGAATCCACATTGTAGAAGCGATGTGATAGAGCTGGAGAGAATGCAGAAGAGATTTAGCAGGAGGTTACCTGGGCTGGAGAGTTTCAGGTATGAACAGAGATTGGGCAGACTGGGTTGTTTTCCTTAGAGCAGAGGAGATTAAGAGGGGAAGACGATTGAGATGTATAAAATTATGAGGGTGTAGGTAGGGTAGACAGGAAGAAACTTTTCCCCTTGGTGGAAGGATCAATAACCAGGGGAAATGGATTTAAGGTTTAGAACAAAAGGTTTAGAGGAGATCTGAGAGAAAACTTTTCACCCAGAGAATGGTGTGAAGCTGAAACTCACTGCCTATAAAGATGGTAGGGGCAGAAGCCCTCAATATTTAAGAGGTATTTGGATGTATATTTGTGATGCCAATGCATACAAAGCTATTGGGCCAAGTGCTGGAAAACGGGTTAACATAATTAGATGAGATAGTAGGAACTGCCGATGCTGGAGAATCTGAGATAACAAGGCGTAGAGCTGGATGAACACAGCAGGCCAAGTAGCATCAGAGGAGCAGAAAGGCTGACATTTCGGGTCTGGACCCTTCTTCAGAAGAAGGGTCCAGACCCAAAACGTCAGCTTTCCTGCTCCTCTGATGCTGCTGGGCCTGCTGTGTTCATCCAGCTCTACACCTTGTTATTTATAGCATAATTAATGGTTGCTTTTGATGCAAAGGGACTTTTCAGTGTTTTGATCTGACTTTCTGCCTATGACTCCTGTTGTCTTTCTTCCTTATTCTTTTTTATTCCTTTCTTGACTAGAGGTTTTACATTGGTGACTTTCAATCTGCCAGGACTTTTCCTGAATCCAGGGAATTTTGGAAGATTACAAACAATGCATCCATTACCTCTGCACTTACTTCTTATAAAACTTGAGGGGCTTTATCACTCCCATCAGTTTTCTCCTTACATTTTCACTAGAGATGGCCAATATTTTATTTCTTCCATCTGTTTGTTTCTTAATTGTGATCAATACTTGTTCTCCTATATTCCTTGCTAAGCTTAAGGTCACCCTCACACCGCTGCCAATGTCTGAGCTCACATCCAGTCCTGTTACCTCTCACCCCTCTGCTTGCTGACCCACACTTGTTGTTAAAATCCTCATCCTTTATTTTTGATTCCCTCAATGGCCTTGTCCCTCACTATATTTCCACCAGCCCTATATCCTGGAGTTACCTCAACTCCTCAAACTCTGTCTGCTTGGGCTTCTCAATTTTAGTCATGGGCAGCACGGTGGCCTAGTGGTTAGCACTGCTGCCTCACAGCACCAGGGTCTTGGGTTCAATTCCACCCTCAGGTAACTGTCTGTGTGGAGTTTGCACATTCTCCCTGGGTCTGCATGGGGCTCCCTTCAGGTGCCCTGGTTTATTCCCACAGTCCAAAGATGTACAGGTTAGGTGGATTGGCTGTGCTAAATTTCCTGTAGTGTTCAGGAGTGTGTAGATTTGGGGGGATGCTCTGAGGTCAGTCTGGACTTGTTGGGCCAAAGGGCCTGTTTCCACACTGTAGAGATTCTTTCTTTCTATATTTTTCTATTCTATCATTGATACCCATGCCCTAAGTTCCCTGGGCACTGAGTTCTGAAATTCCTTCTCTCAACTTCTCTGCCTCGCAAACTTACTTTCTTCCTTTTTGAAAAACTAGTTAAAATTGATTGCCCTCACGAAGCATTTGTTTACCTCCACTCCAATGTAATCAGTGTCATATTTCATTTTGTAATGTGTCTGTGAAGCACCTTGAGATGCCTTATTGTATAATATGCAGCTTATCACTATAAATTGTTTTTAACTTGGAAATTGTTTTGAGAGAAGGGAAATTGAGACACTGAAGTGAGACAGTGGAAGAGGGGAAGAGACAGAGATGGAGAGAGGGCAGACCCAAGGGGATAGGGCAGAAACAGCTCAGAGAGACAGGGAGCACTTGCCTGCCTGAAGACAATGTTAAAGGGGAAAACCTCAAAGAAGAAATCACTGGTGAAGGATAACATCTCCTCCTCATCGGTATCCTCCTTCTGAATGTATCGGTAAGCTGAGTTATCAAAATTCAACCTGTTCAGTGACAGAGAGAAAAGTGAGAACAATCTTAAACCCCAAACATAGTGACAAAGTGAGAGCCAGAGACAGGGAGACAGAGAGGGTGGGATATTGCAGTAGAGATAGTTGCAAGAGAGGGGGACAGGTGAGTGTGAGAGAGATTGGTCCAGATTTTGAACTGCCAGAAGTTGTTATTCCAGTATCAATGGGAGGCACATGGGGACACTGCAGAATTCTCTCCGCAGCACAATCTGAATGAATTAATCAGGATACTCCTGGGCAACATCTCTCTGGCTGGAACTCTCTGAAAGTCACCATTTTAAATCAGAAACTTTAGCGGGTTGGAAGGTCGTGTGGCCTACTGATGAAGTTTAGTAAGATAGTTACTTAGGAAAACTTAGATCACTAAATGCAGAGACTAACATCTAAGCATTGATTAATGTATGACTCTTTTAAACCGACCCCATACTTAACTCACCTCCGCAACACACCGCCAACACACTGCACACCTGCAAACCACACATCTCTCAGACTTTCACCTGATGCTCCCGCCAAAGGACACATCCTTCTTCAGATTGACCTCATCCGTCTCCTACACCCTCTTACCATGCTACTACCCCTTTCTCCAAAATTCCATGCATCTGCCATCCACTTCTCAAACTTCTCCCCACCTCCAGCCCCTGCGCTTTGGACTGAATCCCCTTGCACACCCCGCTCACTGGTCCAGCCAGCCCCGTATCACCTACTTTGGACCCAGCCCCTTTTTGTGCCTCCATAGCTCTACCACAACCTGACCACCCCCTTCACAACAACCTTCTCCCAATTTTGATCCTGTGACCTGACCTCCCCCTCACCCCAACAAAACCCAAATTTTCCCCTTTTCCTGATCCAGACTTCCCTCCTCCAAAATTTATCTGCTTCCCCCTGCACAGGTACAGTCCCTGCTTCCTCCTCTAATCCCATGCTTCATTTATCCCACCCAACCTTCCTACCCAAAACACTGCAAGATTTTACCTGGCACCTTGCGTATCTGGAAACTTAATAACCTGGCATCCAATGCTCTAGTACCCTACTCTCCATCCAACTGGCATACCACTTACCTGGCACCCACCCACTCTGCTAACCCACCTGGCACCCTAATCTTATACTTAACTGACAATGCTTACAGTTTGACAGCTGCTGTCAAAGTGACTGGCTGTGACTCTGGACCTTCATGTTTCAGAATGCAGCAGCAGAATGCTGTGAAATAGGCCCATGATTTGATACCCCTACCAGTTCTATGCACCAAGAGGATTGTCAGAATGGAAAGACAGCTCTACGTTTCAGAGAGAGCCCTGAGCAGAGTCTTCTGTCAGAAATACAGAGCTTTTATCTTTCATAAAAATGAAGGGCCAGAGATTGTTTCTGTATATGACATCTCCCTCACCACCCTCTCACTAAACTGAGTATGAAAGACAGGGAGACATAGTGCATGTTTTGAGAGAGACAACATCCAAGAAAGAGTGGGAGAGAGGTGCAGAACATTAGGATACTCTCCAGTGAGGTAAATGGCCACTAATGCTTTTACAGTTACTATTTCATGTTACGAAAGGAGTTCTAATGGGAGAGGTAAAGTTACACTGTTGCCCTATCGACCCTCCAATTAGTCTACTGAGATAGGCCATCAGCCTCTGAAATGGATGAAGGGTCTAGGCCCGAAACGTCAGCCTCTCTGCTCCTATGATGCTGCTTGGCCTGCTGTGTTCATCCAGCCCTGCACCTTGTAGCCTCTGAAATGTCTTTTGTTTATCACATTACTGAATTCTGATATTGTTGAATTAAATCTATAAATCTGAGATCCTGCGTCAGTTGTTGTTTGACCTCCATAGGGACAGTAAGACTCCAGGCAAAGTTGGCAGCCTGCCTTAGACCCTCCATCTCTCTGTCTTTGAATTATTGGCTTCAAAGAAGTTTACACTTTGATTTCACTTTGAAGGAAAAATGCAGGCCTCAGCACACTGAGGAATCTAACACTGGACACTGACAACTAGGAAGTTGTAACTAACTGAATTGATTTTTAAAAATTCTGGACTGAACAAAATTTGGAATTTACAACATAACCTCCTTTCCTGTCCTGTCTTCATTACTTTCCTGAGCACATGTATGCGTGAATGAACTAGCAAAGCAATGCCCCCCACATTTTGAATGTTTTCTTCTAAAGTCCTGTGTTTCATTTCATCTTAAAGGATTTTACTGATGGTTCATTTTAAAATCTAGAGGATGAAAACCAGCGTTTGGGAATAGCCTTTGACCTATCCACAAAGATCCACTGGATCTGAGGGACAGGGGTCATTCAAGGACTGAGATTCTCCATGTCTAAAGTTATTTCTTTCTTTTTAGTTCTTGGGACCTAGGTTTTGCTGGCTAGACCTTCATTTATTGCCCATCACGGGTTGTCCTGTAGAAGTACTTCAACCGGTATGTCATTTGGGAAGCTGATGAGAGTACTGGTACCTCGGGCAAGTACGATCAGAGACAATCTTCTGGCACTACAAGCGGCTTAACTGCACGGGATGGGGAGGAAGAGGAAAGGAAGTGCAATAGCGATAGGGGATTCTTTAGTCAGGGGAGCAGACAGGCGCTTTGGCAGCCGAAGATATCTCTCCAGGATGGTGTGTTGCCTTCCTAGTGCCAGGGTCAGGGATGTCACTGAACAGCTGCAGAGCATCCTGAAAAGGGAGGGTAATGAATTAGAGGTCATGGTACATGTTGGTACCAATAATATGGGCAAAGTGAGGAACAAGGTCTCACACCAAGAATTCAGAGAGCTAGGCAATAGGGGGAATGTGCAAACTCCGCACAGACCATTGCCCGAGGTGAGAATTGAATCCGGGTCCCTTGCGCTGTAAGGTAGTATCACTAACCCCTGAGCAACTGTGCCGTGGCATCATGTTCAGCACATCATCATGGGCTGAAGGGCCTGTTCCTGTGCTGTACTGTTCTATGTTCTGTGTTCTATGTTCTAAGGTAATGGTCAGCTGCCTTCTTGAACTGCTGCAGTTCTTAGTGTGTCGGAACACTAAGTGCTATTAGGGAGATAGTTCCAGGGTTTTGACCTGATTGTCTCCTGCCCTGATGTTTGAACCCTGTTGCTGTCTGAAGTGAACTATTTGCCCATTCTCTTCCCATCTGCTCCAATACCTCATGGTGACATGTGAGTAGTCCCCGACCAACTGCTCCGACAGCACCTCCACGTGGATATCCGTGTCATAGAATTGCTTCCCCATCTGTCGTAGCTGTCCCATGGCGTAATGAAGATATCCTTTCCGTTTGCTCCTGTCGTGTCAATGGGGATAAAATAAAGACTTGCATTCACAAAGCTTTCATGGGACCACCAGATGTATCAAAGCAATTTACAATTGTTGAATATTATGCAGTTTGGACAAAATTGTAATGTAGGAATGTGGGGAGGTGGTGTGTGGTGGTAATGTCACTGTGTTAGTCTGTTGGCCCTAGGGACACAGGTTCATATCACACCATGGCATCTAATTAATAAATCAGGAATTGAAAGCTAGTCTCCTAGTTATAGACATCACAGCTGTACACAACATGCAAACAGGCCCTTCAGCCCAACTCAACCATGCCACTTAGGTTTCCTAAACTTTTGGGTGGCATGGTGGCTCAGTAGTTAGCACTGCTACCTCACAGCACCAGGGACCCAGGTTCAATTCCAACCTCATGCGACTGTCTTTGTGGAGTTTGCACAATCTCCCCATGTCTGCGTGAGTTTCCTCCCACAGTCCAAAGATGTGCTGGCTAGATGGATTGGTCATGCTAAATTGCCCATAGTGTACAGGGATGTGTAGCTTAGATGAGTTATAAGGGGATGGATCTGGGTGGGATACTCCAAGGGTCAGTGTGAATTTGTTGGGCCAAAGGGCCTGTTTCCACAGTGTAGGGATTCTATAAATTGAACTAGTTCTGTTTGGCCCATATCCCTCTAAATCTTTACCATCCATGTACCTGTCCAAATGTCTTTTGAATGTTGTAATTGTATACACCGCTACCATTTCTTCTGCAGCTCGTTCCATATATGCCTCCCCGCATTCCAACACTACAATTTTGTGAAAACTTAGCCTCTCAGGCTCCATTTAAATCTTTCCCCTATCACCTTAAACCAAGGCCCTGTAGCTTTGGATTCCCCTGCCCTGCGGAAAAGACCTTGTCTATTCACCTTATCTATGCCCCTCATGACTTTATAAACCTCCTACAAGATCAGCCCTCAGCTTCCTACATGCCAGGGAAAAACATAGAACATAGACTGTACAGCACAGGAATCGCTCTTCAGCCCAAGATGTTGTCCTGAACATGATACCAAATTAAACTAATCCCTTCTGCTTGCCTTTGGTCCATATCCCTCCATTCCTTGCACATTCATGTGCTTATCTAAAAGTCCTTTAAATACCCCTGTCGTATCTGCCTCCACCATCACCCTGGAAATGTGTTCCAGACTCCTACCACTCTCTGTGTAAAAAAAACTTGCCCCCCACATCTCCTTTGAACTTTCCCACGCCATAAATGTATGCCCCCTAGTATTAGACATTTCAACTCTGGGAAGCCTCCACTTCCTTCCTGTAATGTAGCAACCATAACTGAATGCAATACTCTAAGCATGCCCTAACCAAAATTTTATAAAGTTGCAACACGACATCTTGTACTCAATTCCCTGACATATAAAGGCAATCAAGCCATATGCCTTTTTTACCACCCTATCTACTTGTGTGGCCACTTTCGGGGAGCTCAAGACTTGAACCCCAAGATCCCTCTGTACGTCAATGCTGTTCAGGGTCATGCCATTAACTGTATACATTTCCTTACTATTTGATCTCTGAAAGTACATCACCTCACACTTGCCCAGATTAAACTCCACCTGCCATTTCTCCACCGATATCTGCAACTGATCTATATCGCGCCGTATCCTTTGATAATTTTCTACACTGTCCACAACTCCACTGATCTTTGCATCATCTGCGAACTTATTAATCCAATCATCTATATGTCCATCCAAGTCAGTTATATATATCACAAACAGCAGAGGTCCTAGTACAGATCCCTGTGGAACACCACTATTCACAGAACTCCAGCCTGAAAAACATCTTTCCACCACAACCCTTATATAGACAAGACAATTCTGTATCCATTTGGCCAAGTCATTGTGGATCTCATGCATCTTTACCTTCTGGATGAGCCTACCATGAGGGACCGTGTCGAAAGCTTTATTAAAATCGATGTAGACAACATCCACTGCTCTACCCTCATCAATCACCATTGTCACCTTCTCAAAAAATTCAATCAATTTTGTAAGACATGACCTGTCCTGCACAAAGCCATGCTGACTGTCCCTAATTGGGCCATGCTTTTGCAAGTGCACGTGAATCCTATCTTTAAGAATTCTCTCCAATAGCTTCCCAACCACTGATTTGAGATTCACCACTCTACAGTTTCCTGGATTGTCTCTACTTTCCTTCTTGAACGGAGGAATCAAATTAGCCACTCACCAGTCCTCCGGGACCTCTCCAGTGGCTACTGAGGCTACAAAGATCTTGGTCAAGATCCCAGCAAAAAATTCCCAGCTTGTCCAGCCTCTCCTTATGACCTAAACCTTCCAGTCTAGGTAAGAATCTTGTAAATCTTTTCTGCACCCTTCCTAGTTTAATAACATCCTTCCTATAGCAGAGTGATCAGAATTGTATGCAGTACTCCAAATGTGGCCTTATCATTGACTTGTACAGCTGTAACATGATGTCTCAACTCCTGTACTCAATGCTATGGCTGATAAAAGCAAGGCTGCCAAACACTTTATTCACCACCCTGTCTACTTGTGACACCATTTTCAAGGAACACAGTACCTGTAACCCTAGGTCTCTCTTTGTGACAACATTCAATGGGTCCTACCATGAACTGTGCAAGTCCTGTACTGGTTTGTCTTACTAAAATTAAACACCGTGTATTTATCTGCATTCAACTCCATCTGCCATTCAGCTCATTGGTCCAGTTGATCAAGATCCTGTTGCACTCTTAGATAACATTCTTCACTGTCAACTATACCACCAATTTTGGTACCTATGACAATTGTCATCAAAATCCAAAACAAGACAAAGAACTGGAAATCTGAAATTCACTGAGCAAGTGTCGTGTTAACTGTTTTCCCTCCACAGATGCTGCCAGGCCTGCTGAGTTTCTACTGCAATTTCTGTTTTTGTGTCATAAAAATACATCTGATTCATTAATGTCTTTAGGGGAGGAAATCTGTGTCCTTAGCCAGTCATGTAAATGATGGGGTTGACTCTTTACTGCCCTCTGATATGACTGAACAAGTCACTCCATTCAAGGACAATAAATGGCAGCTATACAAGTGATTCCTATGAAAGAAGGAAAGAAACAAGACAGCCAATTTGAGAACAGCATGATCCCACAAAGAATAATGTGATTATGTGATACAGCCAACCTGCTTATTTGAGGGATAGATATTGTCAAGGACACAGTGGAGAATTCCCCACCTCTTCTTTAAAATAGTGCCACATTCACCTAAGGGGCAGGTGGGGCCTTAGCTAATACCTCATTTGAAAGTCAGCAGCTTCAACAGTGCAGCACTTCCTCAGTATCACACTGCAATGTCAGCCTTGAAATTTGTGTTCAATGTGGAAACTTGTGACTCAGAGGAGACTTTTACCAAATGCCTCATGTCTGACATTGTTCAATAAGAGTCATTCAATCTCTGACCCTTCATCGTTCTTAATCTTCTTCCTCCTGCACTAGTGTCCCTTGATCCTTCACCTCCCTCATCACCACTCTCAACATCAATAACCCCTGACTTTTCGGCATTCTCCCACACAAGTAATCCCTGACCTTTTGACATCCTCCCACACCAGTAACCACTGATCTTTCACCTCCCTCATTCCACCCCCCCAACACTAGTAACCCCTGACCCTTCACTTTTCTCATCCTCCTAACCGCATCATTGTGATTCATCTGTATTCAGTGGTGGTACCTGTAGTGAAGGGTGACTCCTGTGGCTGATTCCTCCTGGCAGAAGAAAGTCGGGGGCTGGACCTTGGGGTAGCTGAAGCGTAAGTACTCATGAAGATTGTCCAAACCGTTCACAAAGTCACGCACGTGTCTGCCCAGAACCTGGGGGAATGGGGAGAGAGACATCACATCATGGGAAGCTTGGGGGCAGAGGTATGGTGGTGAAAACCAGTACAGGATGGGGAGAGCACAACTCAACTACAAACATATCAATAGAGAATGGCGAGGTGTCCTGAGAGTATGATAAATAATACTGCATGCAGGGGGGAATTTTAACGTTGGAGGAATGTGAGGAACACACAGAGTAAAGCAGAATGAGGTGATGCAGATAAAGAAACAATGCTAAGTGAACGAAATCAAACAGTCCACATGGAGAACATCAACACAGAATGAACAACACCAAATGAAAATCAGTGCAGGTCCTCTCTCAATCAGAAATGACGCTGCATGTGAAAGATGAGAGGGTGGGGGAAGGATACAGCATTGATGGGACTCCAGAGGTAATGGTGCACAGAAAGAAGGGGAAACTCCATCTCTTTGTCCATTCCTTTTACTCTCTCTTTCTCCCTCTTGCTTCAAATCAGGCCTGTGTAGGGAGTGCTGCCTGGTTCTGACACTGGACTTATGTATGGAATGTGGTGTGGTGGAAACACCGGAGGCGGATGTTTCAGGGGCAAAGAAAACTTTGAGTTTATTGAGCAAACAAGCAAAGTTAATATATTTACAGAAAAAAACAAGAAAGTGAGTATCAAAATTAGAACCTGCTTGTCTCCCAGTTAACTTAACCCCCAGTTAAGCCTTGTATCTAAGACTTAATACAGCAGTTAAATAGACACGGTGAGTGACTGTTACTTATGCTAATAGGGAAAAGAAAAAGAGAGAGAGAGAGAGACAGAGTGAGATTACCTGCTGACCCCAAGACCTATTCCACTTCCCTTCCTCGAGGTACCCTACACCATTAGCCCCAAACTTCCCCATCCCTTATCTAAGATTAGCCAAGCTGGGTTAGAGGTCTTGATGACCTTAGGCTAACCTCTGGTGTGAAAACGCGATTTTGATTGCCTCTTGTCCATAGTCACTTGCTGTAGCTGGGACTCTGTGAAGGGCCGCAGGTAGCGATAACAGTTACAACAAGGTGCAGGGCTGGATGAACACAGCAGGCCAAGCAGCATCATAGGAGCAGAGAGGCTGACGTTTCGGGCCTCGACCCTTCATCAGAAAAGGGGGAGGGGAAGGGGGTTTTGAAATAAATAGGGAGAGAGTGGGAGGCGGATAGAAGAGGGATAGAGGAGAGGATAGGTGGAGAGGAAACAAACAGGTCGAAGAGGCGGGGATGGAGCCAGGAAAGGTGAGTGTAGGTAGGGAGTTAGGAAGGGGATAGGTCAGTCCAGGGAGGACGGACAGGTCAAGGGGGCGGGATGAGGTTGGTCGGTAGGAGATGGAGGTGCGGCTTGAGGTGGGAGGAGGGGATAGGTGGGAGGAAGAACAGGTTAGGGAGGCAGGGACGAGTTGGACTGGTTTTGGGATGCGGTGGGGGGAGGGGAGATTTTGAAACTTGTGAAATCCACATTGATACCATTGGGCTGCAGGGTTCCCAAGCGGAATATGAGTTGCTGTTCCTGCAACCTTCGGGTGGCATCGTTGTGGCACTGCAGGAGGCCCAGGATGGACATGTCGTCTGAGGAATGGGAGGGGGAGTTGAAATGGTTCGCGACTGGGAGGTGCAGTTGTTTGTTGCGAACCGAGCGTAAGTGTTCTGCAAAGCGGTCCCCGAGTCTCCGCTTGGTTTCCCCGATGTAGAGGAAGCCACACCGGGTACAGCGGATGCAGTATACCACATTGGCAGATGTGCAGGTGAACATCTGCTTGATGTGGAAAGTCTTCTTGGGGCCTGGGATGGGGGTGAGGGAGGAGGTATGGGGGCAGGTGTAGCACTTCCTGCGGTTGCAGGGAAAAGTGCCGGGTGTGGTGGAGCTGGAGGGGAGTGTGGAGCGGACAAGGGAGTCACGGAGAGAGTTGTCCCTCCGGAAAGCAGATAAGGGTGGGGAGGGAAAGATGTCTTTGGTGGTGGGGTCGGATTGCAGATGGCGGAAGTGTCGGAGGATGATGCGTTGGATCCGGAGGTTGGTGGGGTGGTACGTGAGGACGAGGGGGATTCTTTTTTGGTTTTTATTGCGTGGACGGGGTGTGAGGGATGAGGTGCGGGAGATGTGGGAGACACGGTTGAGGGCGTTCTCGACCACCGAGGAGGGGAAGTTACGGTCCTTGAAAAACGAGGACAACTGAGATGTACGGGAGTGGAATGCCTCATCCTGGGAGCAGATGCGGCGGAGGCGAAGGAATTGGGAATAGGGGATAGCATTTTTGCAGGAAGGTGGGTGGGAGGAGGAGTATTCTAGGTAGCTGTGGGAGTCGGTGGGCTTGAAATGAATATCGGTTTCGAGGTGGTTGCCCGATATGGAGACAGAGAGGTCCAGGAAGGGGAGAGAGGTGTTAGAGATGGTCCAGGTAAATTTAAGGTTGGGGTGGAAGGTGTTAGTGTTAGTGTTAGCGATAACAGTTAGTCTAGTGGTGTCTGTTACACGGTTAGATGCGTGGGACCGGCCTGGTGAGTACCCTGGTTTTCTTTCTTCTCCTGGTGGTTCTTGTGAGCAGGTTGTTATTGTGGATGGTAGTGAATGCTGCTGGTGTTTCTCCGGTTGGTGTTTCATGTCTCTGGATGCCTTAGGTCACCTCCCGATGTTGAGTGGAAGTTCGTAGTTAGTTGCTGGTGTTAAGTGATTAGTATCGCAGTGCTTGTCTCACAGACCCCAAACTCGCAGTGCCCCATTTAAAGTGCAGGACTCTGGTACACTCACTCTCTTTCTCTCCTCCTCTTCTTCCTTCACTCACTTCTCTTTTTCTTCACTTGTTTCTCTTTCCTTCACTCCTGTGGTGGGCTCAGGGTCTCCGGTTATACCCAACTGCAGGCCCCCCTTATCTCCCGCTAAATCTGTTGAGCTACTGTTCCTCCTCACGGGGCTGAATGGGCTCCCTGAGCATTGGAGTAGGTGTGAAGGTTTTTCGATTGAGGTGAATGGTTTGGATGATTTTGGAATGTCTGGCATTTCCCTTGGATGCATATCAGTTTAGTTTTGCATAGTGGTGTGAACGTTTTTACATCCAAGGTGAAACAGGTTTGCATGTAGCACAATGGTGGAATGTTCAGAGATAGTAGGAACTGCTGATGCTGGAGTCTGAGATAACAAGGTGTGGAGCTGGAGGAACACAGATGGCCAGGCAGCATCAGAGGAGCAGGAAAGCTGACGTTTCGGGTCGGGACCCTTCTTCAGAAATGCAGGAGGGGAAGTGGGCTCTGAAATAAATGGGGGGGAGCGTTGATTGAAGGTGGATAGTGGAGCGGATAGGTGGGAGAGAAGACGGACAGGTCAAGAAGGCGAGGATGAAGCTAGTAAAGGTGAGTGTAAGTAGGAAGTGGGGATGTGGGTTGGTCAGTGATGAGGGAGGGGCGGATGGGTGGGAGAGAAGATGGACAGATCAAGGAGGCAGGGATGGGGGAGCTGGTCTTGGGATGAGGTCAGGGATGGGGAGATTTTGAAGCTAGTAAAGTCCACATTGATACTATTGGGTTGTAGGGTTCCAAGGCAGAATATGAGTTGTTGTTCCTCCAGTGTCTGGGTGGCATCATTGTGACACTGGAGAAGGCCTAGGATGGACATGTTGTCCAGGGAGTGGGAGGGGGAGTTGAAGTGGTTCGTGACTGGGAGGTGTCGTTTGTCGCGAACCGAGCATAGGTGCTCCCCAAGGAATGTTCAGTATTTTTGTGCCTGAGCACTGATTGACAATTGAATGATTTTATATCTCTGTAGGCTCCAAAGGGTCTGGAGTGGTTGAAGTTGTTTGTTTCCTGTATACTGGCTTGCACTGTTTTTTAGCTGAGGCATGAATCGGGGTCTTCCTTTAGTTTCTGTTAGTTAACCCCTGTTCCAGTCATCTGCCCCTGGGCTTATATATTTCCCAATCTGTCCCAGCCAACCTTTTCCTGGCTCAGTTGCAGCCCATGGTTTCTGGAGTCCCAGTGAATTTAATCCAATATAATTTCCACAGCTTCTGCCTTCAGAGGGTTTTAAAGTCCACGGTATGTCCATAAACTGATGGGGACTTTTGCCCTACCTTACATATTCCCCCTTTGGTACTCTACACACTAGAGTATCACCTTGGGTGGGAAAAAATCATCGAGACCTCAAAATCAGCTTCCCAGATTGCCTAAACTAATCTTGTCTTGAAATGGTGCATGGCCCCTCCTGAGGAAGGAAAATAGACAGGATCGGGAAAAGATATATTATACACATTATACTCTTAGCGCAAATGTTTACATTGACTTGATCCGTACAAAACCCAAGATATTTTGTGTGAAATGCAGCCATGTTTTAATTCTGCCCACATGGAATGTCAGGTCTGTTGTAGATGCTGGTACCTGTGAGCTAGCTACGTTGTCTGACAGCTGGCCCGTAACAGATACAGCACAATCAAACTACAGGAGATCACCCTAATCCAGGTGGGGATTTCAACATCTAACCACAGGTCCAACCTTGACCGGCACCGTCAGTTTGGTTATGTCCCTTCTGGGTAGTCTGTTCAAGGGTATAAAAGTGCTTTTGTGAGATTTCTACTACCTTGAACAAAGATGTGAGGCATTCTGGTAAGAGGGGAATAGGGTATCCAAAGTGGGCCACATAGTCTAGCAGGTTGGTGAAGTTTTCGCTTACAGTAAGGTGAATCGTGGAGGATTCAGGAATCAGAATAAGATATTCCTGGGCCACTTGAACTTCCGCTTGCGGGTTAGAACAAAACCTGCTATTGCTAACCGGACATGTCAGATGCTGCTTGTACTGGTAGCTGGGTACGCTTGTGGTGACACAATAGGTCCTACTGCCTAGGTATGCCACCTGTGGAGGAACATGGTCCTGTGCCATCACCTCCATAGTGCAATTTATAGGCTCCGTATCCACAGCTTGGAACCCACACTGGGGTCGCAAGAAGGAGTTCAAGTGCTGGGGACACAGTATTACATGTGCACCCTGGCCCCAGCACCCTGACTG